CTCAAAATACTTTTAGGGATGTGAAGATTTAAACCCAAGCACTCATGGTTACAAAGGCCATGGTCTCACTTAAACATTTAGTTACTTAAGTTATTTGTTCATTTGTTTTCATTTTAATATTTGAATGTGTACAATAACTAATGTAAAATATAATATTTACAAATTTTAAATTTAAATTAAAAGTTTTGAACCATATAATGATAATCTACATATTAAGTTACTAAATTTAACCAATAAAGATAATATAAGTTTTAAATTATAGGGTAACATATAAAAACCTCCTATAAAGATAATATAGTTTAATTTTAACAAATACCTCCCCTAAACTGAGAAATTTGACAAAAACCTCCCTTTTGTCACTTTCTTAGACAGAAACGTTAGATCGATGCACCAATTTCTTCTAAATACCCATTCTACCCTTTTATAAATTATTTTACATACAAAATTACTGAAATAACCCCATTTTTTATTTGACAAAAATCTCCTTTTAACGATCATCTTCTAATGTTTTTATCAAATTAAAACATGGTTACTCAGTAATTTTGTATGTAAAATAATTTATAAAAGGGTAGAATGGGTATTTGGAAGAAACTGCTACATCAGTCTAACATTTTTCGTCTCGGAAGGTGATGGAAAGGAGGTTTTTTGTCGAGTTTCTCAAAAGTTCAGGGGAGGTATTTGTTAAAATGAAACTAGAGGGGATGTTTTTATGATTGTTAGAAACTTCAGGGGAGGTTTTTATATTTTACCCTAAATTATATTATATTTATTGAATATCGAGTTTTTAAAGAACATGATTCTTTTCTTTATTTTTTTGAAGAGTGAGTAAAGAAAGAACATGTTCCACGGGTAGACCATAGAACCGACCCCGAAACCACTAAGGCTAAAACCGACCTTGAAACCAACCTTTACAAGATAAGTTCCAATTCCAAAAACCTGGAACTGACCCCTACAAAATAAATTCCAAGTTCTACCATAAAACTAAACCAAACCAACCTTTACAGGATAACAGGACACTGCATCTTATATGCATAAGGTGCATATAAGAGACTATACAAAGCATAGTAATATTAGACGATGTAGCTGACAACATACTTACGTGCACTAACTGCAACTATAAGCTGCAAATGTTGCACTTGGACATCCTGTGTACACTTAGGTTGGAAATCTTGCATACACACAAGGTGCAGCATTTACGGTCTATAATGTTTGAAAATACACTTTTCTACCCTATAAATAAAAGGGTAAATTCTATATTAAAACTACCCTTTTAATATTTTTGGGACTATTTTACCTTGATTGTCTTCCCCTTTGTTACGGAGTGAATCCCTCTTTTCTAGTAACAATGTTGCCTCAAGTTTTTCTATAGCTTCTCCGGTGGAAAACATTAATTCTTCAGCAAAAAAGTTCAGGAAATAAAATGAATAGTGGTGCCCAATCACAATGAAAAGGGATTTAAACATAACTATTTTGACCAGTTCAAAATGACGCTCCTTTTGCCTATTCAAAACTTGAAGGGTTGAAGGGTATTTGTATCTTTTTACATGCCATCTAATGCATGAATTACAAGATAGTTCAATTTGAAGTTTGAGGCATGGTTTTTAAAAACGAACCAGTGACCGAACCGGTCAGGGGTCTAGTTACTGGTTCGAATGGTCAGACCTGAATGACTGGCCCATTTTGATAAAAAAAAATAAAAAAAATAAAAAAAAATGGAAAACAGTCAAAACCGTTCGAATAATTAACCGGCCGGTTCAGCGGTTTGCTGACAAAAATCAACGGTTTTGGGGGAAAAGGCAGTTTTAGAGGAAAGCGGAACCGGTCAGGACCGGTTCCCAGTTTTTCTGGTCCAATCGTCTGGTCCGGTCCGGTTGTAAAAACAATGGTTTGAGGTACTAAAATGAAACTAAACCCAAAGTACAAGGTACTAATATGCCATTTACCCTAAATAAAATTCATGTAACTTTTATCAAAAGTGTATTTTTGTCTTTTGTCAAGAGATTTACCTGGTTTGTGAAAAATGGGATAATCCCAAGCCCAATCAAGTCATTTGAACTCTGATCCTAACTAATGTTCCCGTTGAAAACTCAAAGTCGGGGTGCAATCGAACGTAAGGCAATGTTATACGGAGCACAAATAAGGTTCTAAATATCGATATAGGCCGATAAACCGGTAGGGCATATCGGCCTGCATTGGTACTTTTTTACCCTTTGAACCATGACTTGACCCGATACACCCCCTGTAAGGGCATATTGGGAAGGCCCCAATACAATATGTATAGGCCAATACGGGCCAATACGTGACAAAATTTTGATCCTTAAGCATAGATTTGTCGAGATAGGAATCCTATATATATCTTTTATCTTATATATATATATATATATATATATATTCTTCATTGAAACATAAGGTTTGATCGTCCGGTTTTTGGGTCGACGGTTCAACCGTTCAGTTCGACTGGACAGCCTGTTCTGACAACAATAATTATAAGCAAAAAATTCTACCCATCGGTTTTTGGGTCGACGGTTCGACCATCTGGTTTGAATAGATGACCCATTCTAACAACAAAAATTAGAAGCAAAAAAATTGAGTGTGTGAGGTCCATTAAGCAATATCATACGTGTTATGTCATTCGAGAGTGTGACTCATACAACCTGAAAATAGAACCGTTTTGGCCACCAGTTTTCGGGTCAACAGTTCGACCGTCCGATTCGAATGAACGTTCTAACAACAAAATTTAAAAAAACAAAGCGGCCAAAAACCATTGAACGGGTCAATGGGTCGACAGTTCGATTGCTCGGGTCAAAGGGTTGTTGACCGATTCAACGGTTTTTGGCCAGGGACCGGGATTGAGGTAAAACGAAATTGGTTGCCTAGATGGTTCCCAATTAAAAAATAAAAAAATGGTGGTTCGACCGTCCAATTTGAATGGACGGCCTGTTCTAACAACAAAAAGTATATGCAAAATATTGAGTGTGTGATGTCCATTAAGCAATATCACACGTGTTATGTCATTCGAGTGTGTGACTTATACGACCTAAAAACGGAACCATTCTAGCCACCAGTTTTCGGGTCGACGATTTGACCATTCGGTTCAAACGAACAGCCCATTCTGACAACAAAAATAAAAATAAAAAAGCGGCCAAAAACCATTGAACGGGTCAATAGGTCGACGGTTCGACTACCCGGGTCAAAGGGTCGTTGATTGATTCAATGGTTTTTGGGTTGGGGCCGAGATTAGGATAAAATAGAACGGGTTGCCTGGACGGTTCCCAATTAAAAAAGATGGCCAAAAACCATTGAACGGGTCAACAGTTCGACTGCTCGAGTCAATGGGTTATTGATCGATTGAACGGTTTTTGGCCAGGGATCGGGATTGGGGTAAAACGAAACGAGTTGCCTGGATGGTTCCCAGGCCAAAATGTTCGTCTGTCTGGGTCAATGGCTATTCGAAAACCATGGTTTTTATTCTTTTGGATTTTTACTATTCAAAGGTTTCTTCTATTGTGGGCTTTATTCGAGCATGTGCGGTATGTTCCTTTTTTTCATTTTCTGCTTTTATTTTTTTGTGTGTGTTTGGTCTTCTTCTTCAAGATCCTCCAAAATGGTCTAGGGTTTACCACCATTTTATTTATTCTCTTTTGTTTTTTCTTTGGGTTTTCTTATGCAATGTTTTTTTTATTTTCTTACAAGACAATCTGCTTTGTCTCTTTTTTTTTATTGCATATATGTTTAGCTCCGTCTCAAAGCGGAACTTTAGACTCAATTTTCTTATTTTTTCTGCTTGGTTTTTCCAATTTGGTGGATTTACCGCCAGTTTTTTCAGTGTTTAAGGTCACTTTGAATTTATCTTTCAAGGTTTTGGAATCCCTTGCAATGTCCACCATTCTCATGATTATGACTACAAAGTTATTTCGTCTAATTATCGACATCTAGAAAAAAATGACTCGAAAACGAAACCATTATGGCCATCAGTTTCTAGGTCGATGGTTCAACCGTCCGGTTTGAATAGATGGACCATTCTGACAACAAAAATTAAAAATAAAAATGGCCAAAAACCGTTGAACAGGTCAACGGTTCAACCGCTTGGGTCAACGGGTCATTGACTGATTCAACGATTTTTGGCCAGGGATTGGGTTTGGGATAAAATGGAACTGGTTGCTTGAACGATTCCCGGGCCGAACGGTCCTACCGTCCAAGTCAACTGGGAATTTTTGATGTGAAACAAAAGACATATGAAGTAGAACTCAGAACTATCACTGTATGATCACGTTCTTTTATATAAAATGCTTTACTAAAACAATATTTAAAAAACGAACACATAATGATCTTTTTTAAGTCTTTATATGAGTTTCAAGACTTGAATATTTGTAATTACAAGTTTCTTATTAAGAAACCATTGTCTTTTTTAATGTAACAAATAACAATATTATAATTCCATTACAGCCCCAATAAACCTTGCCCCCCTCCACTAGTCCTAATAATAATAGCGCCTCATACCAGTGATAAAATACATCGAACCCACAAATATTCAACGCTCACTTTGGGTCCATGCATTTTAACAATGGCTTGGGGCGCTATCATTGGTTCCACCGCCTGCTAAACAACTAAAGCGTTCAACTAACCCAAATTCTGATTTGCCAAAGGCAATCTGCATTTATGTCATATTGTCACGACTCATGAGCCCTTGCTTCACATAATTCAGTATCTGTCCAGTAAAGATGCTCTGGTTTGCATCCTTGCTCTTACCAACAAAACCAAACTAATTAGCAGTTTCTCCTCTTATCCAATAGGAAAATCTTGTTTCAGGCCAGATAACTAACCATATGACCAAGAATTCCCCATTGGCTGACCTACGTGAGAGCGTCGGTTTTCAAGTCTGTGACTGTGAGCAGATACCCTGTGATTCAAAAAAATGCCAAAGATTAGGTCTGTGTCCAGCCCACCCTTCCCAAGACCCCAAATAGCTGAGTCTGTGACCAAATTTGTGTAATGGCCTTTTCTATATTATTACATTATTACAGATGTTGAAGGCTGGCTTCTAAAAGCTCCCTCCTCCCTGTTGCCCATACAAAGTCAGCAGAATTCTCATGGAAATCAGCGCAATAGTAACGTATAAGCTCAAAAAAGAAAGGAAAGAGAAAAAAAAAAACAATATCATGCTCTCTTTGTACGCCTTCCAACTTCAAGTGCAAGCTCAGTATCAATTTTGAGGGAGATATCGAGTGCTTTCACTGAATGTGTCAATGCACCACTGCAAATGTCAACATTCAATGACATAGTTATTCATGCCAAGATATGAATAGTATTAGCCATAGTCGGGTACAACCACCCGGGTTTTTTTTCTTGTAGAAACCACCCAGGCTTAATAACATATATCAGATCAGCCATTTCGTGTACTTGAGCTAAAAATTAATAAGCAAGAAATATGAGAACAATGCAGAGGTCAGTCTAAAGAATTAAAAAGAAATTTGAAAAAAAAAATTGTTTGGAGATCCAAGCACTTGCAGTGACACATTGTTATTGTTATCATTATTACTAGTCTAACATCTATGAACTGTAACATCTGTGCAGAATATACCAATGAAAAAAAGCAGAGGAGAAATATAGGGAAAACCGTGACCAGATGAAAAGCCAGATCCCCATAAGCCTATACAACTAGGAAATAAAGAGATTCAAACAGTAATATTTCTTATTGTAAGAGGATGGCATTGCATAAGCATGTAAACCTGGTTGACTCGGGTTGAACCTGGGTCAGACCTATCCATTTTTAGATCAATTAATTAAAGGTTCAAGTGCTAGACATTCTAGAATGTTAATAAAGCATGTGTTCTAATCAAATAATGGAATATTCTAGAAGAGTAAAGCATTCATATTAAGCTATGAGTATTCTAGAAGGTTAATTAGACATGTGCATTAAATAAGGGAACATTCCAGAATAAAGGGTAAAATTGAAAAGGAAAACAGTTCTAACCCAAAAAACTTTATAATACAACTCACCCAAACTCTATAAATAAGGCTTCCATACCCATTTCAGGGACTCAGACCCATTTACTCCCATTGAGGTCCATTTCCTCTCTCTCCTCTCCTCTCCTCTCCGCTCTTCTCCTCTCCTCTCCTTTCATCTCTATCACTCCTGCAACTAGTAGCCATTTTCTCTCTTCCTTGCCAGAATTCCATCTTCGGCAAACTACAGTGGCCCGATCCCTTGCTGAAGAGTATGTAGGCAGCCCCTCCAGGGATCCAACCGGCATCTTTCTCTCCTCCCCTTTTCTGGTTCAGTCACTTCCCAACCAGATTTTCAGGGTATAGACCACTGGCACAACCGCCTTACACTTACATTCCCCTTATTAAAAAAAAGGCTCATTATATCATTTTATAGATAATAACCCTTTGAAATTGGTATAGGATCTTGTTTCAGTCTATCCAACAGTAAGGTAGACTACTTTGAATAACATAAAAGACAAGGTGCCTGGTTACCTGGAAATGTAGGTTACTCCAGTTTGTCCAATCTTGTGCACTGTCTCAAGAGTGACATTGCCTGATGCCTGCCATCATTCATCTAGCTTGTTAGAAATAAGACCCAGTAGCAGTAACAAGCAGACAAAAAGTGTTTTGAGACAGTGCCATACTAACAGTGATAATATCCAAAAAAAAGCCTTCTATAATATGATAAAAAGACATGCCACAGTTGTCATTCAGTGACAACACTACATGTAAATTCATCAGCTTTCATTGTCAATGTAACCTTTAGTCAAGAAGAGCCACATTTCAGAGACTGACATGAGCAACATGCAAAAGGCTAGTATGAAAGATAATAAATTTAAAACCTTTATCTCTTACATCTAACCAAAAAGATCAAATCTTATACGTCTATTGATCACTTTCAATTGAATAATCTCTTTTTTAACTACCACAGACATGCCCTATTCAACACCAACCCAAAAAGTCACCACAAACAGAATATAGTCGACATGAGGTTTCATACCAAGTATCAATTCTTCCAAGAAATTGAAAAGTCAGAACTGAAGAATCTGAAATGAGAAAATCCTCCCAAAGGTTAAAAAGGGAGGGAAAATAAAAGGAAGGGAACAATGATTAACCTGACTGTGTGGAACTGGAAAGTGTATAACATTGATAGTTCTCAGAGAAGCTATGTTCTTGGAGATATCTTATATACAGCAAATAGAAGGATTAGGAGCTACCTCAGTCTCAAACCTTCCATTTATCAACTCAACAGCCTCTTTAAGCATCGATACATCCACATCTCCATCAGGAAGAGGGACAACCATATTGTCTAGCATTATCCGCGTCAAGGATGTTTTGGTCTGGGATGCATAATCTAATACTTCCTTCACTTCCTCAAGTGTCCTGGTCTCAATCTGGACTAAAAGAAAAATAATTTCATTGGAAGATACACTTCAAGTTGCCAGTAGATCAATACTGAGAAAAAAATTACAGAGGATGAGTGAACATTATAAGTGGCAAGTTATGGCACAAACCAAGGAATTAAATATTTTTCTTTCAATAAGTGGATATAATGAAATTTAAATTAAGAATTTTCATTTCCAGACAAAAGGACTCATTTGAGTATATGGAAAAAATTTTACTAACATTGAGGGGTCACACTACCTCAACTCCCATTTGAAGATTTCTTTTCTCTAGAAAAAGGTCTACAGATTTTAAGGCATTTCTGACACCCCCAGATACTGAAATATGGTTATCCTTTATCATCACCATATCAAATAAGCCCATCCTGTGGTTCTTCCCTCCACCAATCAAAACCTATGAAAGAAAGATACAAGAAGAAAGCCAACATGAAATGCAAATGAAAGATGGAATTATGCAGCTAATTGATTAGGAGAAAGAAATTTGATTAATACCGCCCACTTATCCACTAAACGTAAACCTGGCGCAGTTTTCCTTGTCTCTAAAATGTAAGCAGGGTTTGCAGCATCTGCCATTGCCTGCAGGAAACATTATGAACAGTCAATTTCTCCCAGGGAAAAAAAAAATTCGCTCCACCATGGAAATACATGCTTCCATTTTTCACTGTAGATGACAAGGCCCCACCTCCTTGTTTTGTTGAAAGTTTTTGAATGTTGAATGAGGTGGCATTAACGTCCACCGTGAAAAAGCAAAAGTACATACCTCCAGGACAGAGCAAAATAAAGCTCTCTCCCAGGTAGAGAGGGCACAATTAGCACGTCATTCACAAATGAGAAAAAATGATGGTGATAAATTTCAACATAATGCATAACTTCATTTTATTAATAGATATCCCACAATGGTGGAAGCAATGTAATACATAAAGAACACATCTAAATAAGTTAAAATATAAATTAAGTACATATGCTCTTTTACACATATTCAAACCCCCACACATGCAGATAGAGAAAAAAAATCCCCCAAAGTGCACTCTTTATCAGTGTTTTCAACCAATGGTCAAGCCAGCTGGTCAGAATCACCCAACCAGAATTCCAGGTCTGATTCACAACCGAACTGCTTGCCTGCAAAAACAGTTGACTCAGTCAATGACATGGTGACCTGGCCAGTTGACCCACTGAATTATTTGACCGGGCCATCAGGTCATGGCTCAGATATTAATTTTCTTTTTTCTGTTTTTCTTGTATTTTTAGTCATTTCCATGTTTCTTTTTTGTATTTATCACCCTTCTCTTTTTTAATATGATGAACGTATAATATTACAGATATCCAAACTTTTATATAAATTTTCTGTATTTTCTCTCTTTATTATTTAATTATGATTTATGACATCATATGTTGACACTTTGATTTGGATGGTTGAACCACTGACCCATCACCTGGACAGAAAAGCGGTTCCTTTTTTGGGTTAGTTTAAAAACACTGCTCTTTATGTTCTTACAGTTTTTTTCTAATCTTCTTTATAACTAATTATATGGACCTGGATGATCTAAAAAAAATGGCCAGATTGACCATGGAAATGATTAAAGTAAACCATTCAATTCATGCAGTTTTTTTGAGATTTTCTGGGTCAGTGTTTGGAAGAAAACCTCTAGTACTGTACAAGGAAGAGTTGGGCCTAACACATTGGCCCCATCTGTGCAATTTTTAGTCCATATGTTGTTTCAGCTGGATGTTTGCTTAGAGCTCAACCTGTGTAAATTGATAACAATCATATAGTTTCTATATGCGACAAGACCAGAGGTTGAGGAGTTTGACCAGTGGGTTAAACTGGATCCCCCTCATACATATGACAGAAAAGCACAGAAAGACTTGTAAAGACAGAGCAGCTATCCCAAAGTAAGGAGATGGTTGAACCATCCAGTTTGTCCATTTTTTGAAGGATTTCTGGGTAACCAGATAAACCAACCTGCCCAATCCCTAAATTTTCTGGTCAGACAAATCTAATCAACCTCAGTTTTGTAACATTGAAGAGTTGTTTCAAATACATTGGATTAAGTAATTGTATAGGTATCCAGAGTTCCAGACAACTTTTAGGCTGAACTTTGTCCCAATTAGACAGGTTATCTTCATTGGTATGTTTGGTATCAAAGTCCTAATCATCCAAAAAATTAAACATTCTGGAATAGAAGCATTAAATTAGGTAATTGGTTCTGTATACCATCTACATGACTCATCAGATTGTCCTACTCCTAAGACAGCACTACCTGTACATGAACTTATTTTGTGAAAATATAACAGTGCATTGATAAGCTTTCGACTTTAGATATAACCCATAACATTATATTGGCTAATTGTTTCTCTTGTCTAATATTCTTTTATTCCTCTTCTAATTCTTATCAGCTTTTGTTTCATTACTTTTTTCAGCCAACAACGTCCATATCCTGTGCAGTGATTCATCATCATGTAAGCCCTGTCTTATCCATATGAGGTTAGCTACAGAACCTGTTTCACATTCCGTTAATGCCATATCCATTGTTAAACTATGCGCACTTAAATCATTTCTTATTACTTCCACCCAAGTCTTTTTCAGTCTGCCCCTAGCTCTTCTATCCCCTTCAACTTGTAACAGATCACATTTTATAATAGGTGCCGATATCCTGTGGAGTGAATGAGTGATTCCCTATAAAGCTTGTTAGCCAACCAATCCTGAATAGCTGGCTGGCAGTAGCACCTTATATCCTAATTTTGTAGAGTTCAAAATTTAAACTTGATGGAAAGAGATTTACCTTGGTTAATGTTGCTATACCACTCATCCTTTGCATAAAATTCAGAACAACTCTTTCAGCAACAACAATGCTGTGTGCTCTTCCTGCATGTGTATAGGTATAGAAAAAAGTCCTCGTAAATAATAATATTACTAAGAATGCAACTCGAAACATTTTTTAATAAGAAAAAAGACAGATTCCTCTTACTGAGATTCTTACCATATACTTTGCCAAACTGCATTCCTTTGCGAATATAATCTCCATCCTTCACAGACCACTCAACCTGATATTAAAAATCACATCAAATACGGGCAAGGAAGCAGCAGACACTCAAAGAAGATGAGAAAGTTTCCAAGTCTCTATACCTTCAGCGAGGAATCAACCTCGTCAAATATGATCTCTGCAAGAGAAATTCCAGCAATGATCCCATCCTCCTTTGCAAGGAAACGCGCTTCCACTTCCATGTCAAGCGGAACCGTGGCCATACAGGTCACATCCCCTGCAATTGCCATTATTAATTCTGTTGAGTAACATTTCTAAACTTTTGAATTCTGAGCATCCAATGCCATTCCCTTTTTCCCTAAACAAAGCTTAAACTTTTAGTTGATGCGTCTAGGTAAAAATTCCAAAGAGAAATGGAATTTTCTGCTCGGTTCAGCGGAACACAAATGAGTGAAAGCCATGGGCTTTCGAAATCTACGACAAAGCAGTATTGGCAGCTTTAATATCTGCTAATCCCCGTTTCCAAATAAGACCCAGAAATCGAAATTCAGAAATGCTCAGAGATGACCCGCCAATTCCATTTCCCCTGCCAATTAAAAGGGATGCATCCAAAAGAAAGACTATTGACGCCTCATGAAACAAAGAAACAAGAACAAATAATTGCCACCTTCATTATTGAGAAACAAAATTCTGAAAACCAGAAGCAGAAGAAGAAAGAAAGTGAGAGAAAGAGGAATTAGACCAAGATCGCCGGCGTCCTCGGAAAGGGCAAGTTTGATGACCGCTTTCAGATCGTAAGTAGGGTGAGAAGGAGGCTTTACGACCAATGATTCCAATGAAACTGGAGGGTTTTTGGCTCCAGTTGCAGATGACATTCGTGCGAAGAAACGGGTATGAGAAGTAAACCTCGAAGACGGGAATGAACAGCGAGAGGGGGAGACAGAGAAGTTGGGGCCTGAACATTGACTCGCGAACATAGCCTTTGTCTGAACTCCGTCCGAAGCTCAAGCTCTATCCAGGTCTAGTCGGAGCGTGAGTTTCGTGTTCACGGAGTCTTTCGTCTTTCTTTTTAGATTCGGGATGAGAACTATTATAATGCTGGCATGAACATGATGGATGGCAATATGGCATCCATGAAAAGATTGGAACAGGATGAGAGCTATACACTAAGGAGTGTAGAGAAGGCTACGCAACCAATCAATAGTGAACACGTATGTCCAATTGTGTCCAACTTGGCCAGAGTCCGGATGGGCTACAAAGTACAAACAAAGTCTGTACATCAAGCTACCCATAAGGTGTGGACTATGCAGATCAACGGCGTATTCACTAATTACTCTTGAGAATCCGGATTTGCTCCTCACGTTAGCGCCCGCACTTGATTTTTCAAGGGAAAATTCACCATTACTACCTTGTGCTTTTAGTGTCATTTTGGTCCCTAAAACTTTAAAATGTGATAATTCAATACCTTCATCCCTAAAATTTTAAAATACTATAACTCAATACCCAAATTTTTAGAACATGTCAATCCAATACTTGTCGTTAAGTGGCATTTGAAAAGATACAAATGCCTTTTAAGTGTTATCTAATTTTTTTATCAATCATTCAAACGTTGACAATAAATAAATAATCTCAAATCTTTACCTCTTTTATTTAAAAAAATTGGGATTAGAATTATTCACAAAATATCACAAATCGACCAAACCGAATCAATCCAATCCGAGATGATCGGTTTTATAAAATCTCGATCGATTTTCAGTTTTAATGACGGTAAAAACCAACGATTTGGTTCAGTTATAGCTTATATTTTTATGACCCGACCTGATATATATACACAACTACACCACAACATAAAATTCTGGCCATCCAAGAATCCGTTGGTCTTTGATACAATCTAGATTTTATTGATGATTTGATGGGATTTACATTCCACGTATTTGGACATAGTGAAACAAATGTAACAGTATACACCACCTATGGACGTGGGCCCTTCTTAGTCATTTCATAATGGGATATAGCTACCTAACCATGTATAAAATCCGCCCCACTTTTACAGCAAACCATGTCATTCATGCACCTGAACTTGACACATAGCATAGCTAATCATCTATAAAATCCACCAAACAAACATTATCAAAGTATTGTACTTAGGCCCACAAAGGAGAACATCGGATTGATTGAATTCAAACCGACTAAAATTGGCCTGGTAATAACCAATTTCAATTCGGTTTTAAATTAACTTTAGTCAGTTTTGGTTGGTTTTTAAATCAACCTGTTGTGATTGGTTTGGTTGACAAAAATAGACAACTGAATTGATCCAATCCATGTACGTGCCTAATTGGAATCATATCTCAATGGACATTCTGGTGACCCCAACTTTCTTGAATAGAAGAGGCAAGGATTTGAAACTATTCATTTTTTGTCAATGTTTGGATGGTTGATAAAGAAAATTAGATGACACTTGAAGGGCATTTATGTCTTTTCAAATGTCACTTAAGGGCTGATTAAAAGGTACTGGATTGGCACATTTTAAAAGTTTGGGTATTAAATTGCCGCATTTAAAGTTTGGGGACTAAAGTGGCACTAGGCCCAAAGTACACGATACCAATCTTGAATGGTTCCTAGCATAGTGCATGATGGTTGATACATTAGCTGGTTGATTCCCATAGAAACATGGACTAGATTGCCGCTACCACTAACTTTGGCGTGTGAGGCAGGGGGGAGTTTAGTGGTGTTAAGTTGCATTATTCAAACGGCCCCTTCGGGGGATTCAGGCTTATCATCAAATACCCAAAAAAAATCGTCCATTGTAAAGGACATTGTTTGTAGCTAATATCATCTTATTATATCAATGTTGTGTTACATTTGATTTGTTTCACCCCTTTTGGATAATATCTTTAAACTCTAGCATTTGGGGATCTATATAGATGAGAGTCTATATCCCTTGGTAGCAAAAATCGTGCATACAACTTGAGAGTATAACATCCAATCATATATTGATTTATGGGGAGACCTAATGCATTTTGGATGTCATGTTTTTGGGATGTGTGCAAGATTTTTGCTTTTAGTTTTAAGAGAGAGTAAAATATAAAAACTTCCCCTAAGGTATTTTGACAATCATAAAAGCCTCCAATGAGGTTTCACTTTAACAAAACTTTTCTTGTAGTTTTGAAAAAGAAACATCCTTTCTATCATTGTCTCATATGAGAAATGTTGCACTAATGCATTAGGTTTTTGAAAATGTCCATTTTATCCTTATATCTATCAATTCATATAATTAAAGATTTACTATAATGCCCCTAAAAGAAGTTTTAATTTTTAACTAAAAAGGTTCCACAAGTCAAATTGAAAAGAGTAAAGTAATTTTACTTTGTAAACTCGTAAGTAAGGACAATTTTGTAAATCTCAAGTTTTCGTCACCAAGACAACAATGGAAGGGAGTTAATTGGTTTTTTCAAAACTATATGAGAAGTTTTTGTTAAAATGAAATATCAGGGGGTGTTTTTATAATTGTCAAAAACCTTAGGGGAGGTTTTTATGTTTTACCCTTTAGGAGATCCTGTCACTTTAGATCAATGTACCTCTTGTTGAGAAAAGTCATATTGATTGACGTTTCTGTTTTGCTCCTTAAAACCCACTTCAACACCCACACACAAACAAGATCTAAGGAATAAGGAAGGATAGAGTTCAAAGTTGAAAGCCTTTGACAAGAAATGGTTGACAAAAACTCAACTTGCTCAACCTACAACTTCTTTATCCAAATTTCTAACATTGAACGACCTTGAGTTTCTGACCCACCTTGTTTCTGCACTATTCTTTTTTTTTCTTCACATAGAAGTATTATCCCTTGATGGTGCACAATCTAGCAGCTCTCTGTTGGAGGATAGCTTGGACGTTGGTTGATGAGGTTAGTAGGCCGAATTGCAAGAAAGACAGTGTCAGAGTACTCGGGGTGGGCACTCCAATGCTTAAGTTAGTGATGAGTGTGGAAAGAGACCAAAGAGCTTAAAATGCAAGAGTGAATTGAATGCACAATCACACATACCTTCTGTAGGTGAAGGAGGTGCCTTTATATAGGCTTCGATGTCACGTAGTGCATCCTAGATCTTCGGGGGAACGTAACTTATTAGCCCACCATCTTCGGAGGTAGTTGTAGCAAATAGTGATAAGGCTTATCCGATTAGCTCTGAAGTGGGTGGATTGAAACTCAATTCTATTGGTCAGGCGATGTGGTCCTAGAGGAATCAGAGACGATAAGTCACATGTAGCGGAAGTTGGTCACCATGCCACACAGGTTGCCACTTCGAACCTCGGTCAGGTCAGTGAGTACTCGGCAGGTCCACCGAGGTCTTTGGTTTACTCTGTTAAGGTGAATCCAAGGTGCATCTAGCTGACTTGATAAGGACACACCATTGCCTACGTGGCACCAAGGTGTTATGCAACGGGTTGGAAGTGCCACATGGTGCGAAGTCATTGGAGGGCCAAATTACCCCTCATCACCCCTAAGTCGATTATCTAGGAATCGATGTATGCTCCACCATATAGGTTGTTGCAATGTGGTTAGTCCGCTTTCTATCTTAAACTCTCCTCTGTGAAAATCCACTTTAATCTTCTATTCCACCACTGAAGTTCACAAGTATTTTCCCATGGCTTGTTACTTCAATTTACTTGCTTAATACACTATCACCAAGCATGGTAATTCTATCCAATATCCTTTCTTTCTATTAAAGGAACAGCCCCAATATTCTATTCTTATGTGAGACACAAGGTTGTCCCAATCAGCAAGCAACAAGTATTATCTGTGTCATCACATCTCAGACATGGTTGGTGGGTTTCAATCTTATAGCGAGATGTGTAGATACAGATCAAGAAGACTATGTTATCAATAGTCCATTTGTCACGAAGCCACAAGAGCCACAAGCCAATCTAGTGGACTTCTATGTTGCTGGAAGAGTACTATTAATATTGTGATCCTTCAGGTCCAATCACATTTTATTCATTTAAGAGTTGACAACCTCCCAACTAATACTCCATGGCATTTGATCTTATTAATATTGCATCTCATGAACTATCTATCAACCACTAACTTGCCATGACTAATTATCGATGACATGAACAACATTTATCTTCCACAAGCTTACAGAAGCTTCATATCTTCAGCTCCTAAACTATCCAAAAGCATGATCAATTTTATTCAGGCTTTTCCAATTGGAAGATATTGGCTTCATAGACCCACCTTTTACATGGACCAGTGGTCAAAAAGGTCCAGCATGCGTTCTAGAAAGACTAGATAGAGCTCTTGCTACCCAAGATTGGCTACACTATACCCTCAAACAATGATTTATCACTTCCCGATTATACTCTTTGACCATGGGCCAATAAAGCTTGATACCAATCCATCAGATTAGCATAGAAAATCACAATTTCATTTCATGCCATTTTGGGTTGAGCACCGAGATTGGAAAAAAAAAACCATCTCTAACTCCTGGCAACAATTTGAAGGTGATTCTCAACACCCCCACATCACCTACAAATTTAGAAACTGCAAGAATGTCCTTTCTAATTGGAATAAAACTACCTTTGACCACAAACATAATCACCTTAGCTTACTATCAAATTGTATTTCCAATATCCAAATGAGCCTCATGAATGTTAAAGATTTCCAGCAACTAGAATCTCTCAAAAATCAATACAACTATTGGTTGCTTAAAGAAGAACAACTAAGAGTTGTGGCTTAAAGATTGAGATAGAAACACCAAGTTTTTTCACTATATGGCTAATTACAAAAATATAAAAAATGACATACCATGGATGAAGAAACCAAATGGTGATGGACTTTAGGTCAAAGTCAAATAACTGAGATTTTCATTTGATCTATGAAGAGCATTGGTGGAGAAAGAGAAGATTTTAACCCTTCCTATATCTCTCACCTTAATCTACCCCAACTTCAATAGGAAAATAAACATAAGCATTCTCTCTTGTCTCTCCCTACACTAAAGGAAATATTCCAGATTGTCCAAGAGATGAATTCACACAAAGTCCAGGCCCAGATGCTTTTCATTGCTTACTTTTACCAACAATTCTAGGACATCATTGGCAAGGATGTTTA